AATGAGTGACATGGACTTATTTATAACTACGATATGATGAAATAATTACTTTCAATAAGGATGAACACAAAGTGCAATGGGAACCCAAAGGAAAGAGGCCTTTCACAAAGGAGGTATGCTGTGAGTTGTAAATGGGAGGACATTAGTGGGAATAGCATGTGCAAAGACAAAGAGGCATAAAGAAGTATAAAGTTTCCTCAGAACTATAAGTAGTTTAGTCTTGCTGGGACATAATGAACAAGAGAGGAGGAGTGGCGGGAAACTGAACAAGTAGATCACAAAAGGTTTTGTCCGTCACACAAAGACGACTGAATTTTACTCTGTAGGGGAACCACTGAAAGAATTTTAAGCAGAGGAGTGACTTGATCAGCACTAGCAAAGATACCAGGAATCCTGAAAGACATCTTAATCCCCACTTATTTCCAGAGGAAAGAAAAAGGCCCCATCCTCTAGGTCTATCCCCTCTTAAATGAAATAACGGTGAGGCAGGAAATAGACCTTCGCACCTGGCACACAGTAAATACTCAATAAAGATCAGCTGAATATGAATTTGGATGTGCCACACGGGGCAGTCCATGCTAAGAGCAGAATTTCAGCAGCACCAGCACCTTCACTTTGGTCCTGGATGTGATAACAGGGAACAGCTCCTTTGGAAGGGACTGGTGACAACTGAAAATTCTAGAATCTAGCAATACACTAGAGGAAGAGGGCACCACATACTGTTTTGTCCTCCAGTATACAAATCCCTCTCATGGTTTTCTTTCCAGAGTTGGGATATAAGTCCCAATAATGGGATAATATTACAGGTTTATTCCACACACTAACCTCTCTGGAATCCTGGGTGACAGGTGCTTACGTGCACACATGTTGAACTGAAGGGAATTCATTAGTGGTTTCCCTCCTACTGTTTTACCTAATATCTCCTCTGCTTAATTCAATTTAGCTGGATGGTTCTGCAGATAAACACTGCAGAAATAAAATACTATTGCATTTGTGCCCCATTTACCAAGTTCTATTTAAAGCAAAATTCTTTAAATAATCAGGAAGAATGTATCAGATATATTTTATACGGGAAGACAATGAGGCTTAGAGAAGCAAAGCAACTTGCCCGGTCACTCTGATAATCAGTTGCAAAGCCACAACTCAAATCCATGTTTGTTGGACTCAGAAATGCAGTACTGTCTCTCCCAAAGCTTGCATCTGAAGCAAAACAAAATTGCCAGAATACAAAACTGATACTTTCTGGCTGGTAAAAACATATTTTTCTAAGGAAAAAAAAGTTCAGAAGAATAATACAAAGAAGAAACACATAATGAGAAAAGAGAAAAAGAGGAGAAATCCGAGGCCAATGTCAGCTAGGCCCTAATCTACAAGGAGGGATGGAAGAATCTGGGTCTGGGAGATGGGTTGGAGTTAAATCCTCGGGGTGGGGGTGGGGGTGAGGGGGGATACGTTTCTGAGCAGGAACCTAAAACAGAGCTGGGAAAGGAGCCAGCCAGCGAGTGAGCACCTGTCCACTGCACCCTGTCCAGCCTGGCCTGCCCTCCTTACCTGCCGTGAAACCAGTCCTGGCACATGTCACACTCAATCATGAAGCGGGTCACGTCGTAAGGCAGCCGGCAGAGGCAATACACCGGTACCGAGGCCATCTTCGCCGGGCTTTGGAGCGTGGTGCGGTGGGCCAGGTTCCTAGCGTCAAAAGGAGCGGGAGGCGGCAGCACGCGTCCTTTCTGGACGAAGGCTGGGCGCAAACAATACTTGTTACAGTGTAAATCAGGTCTCCCTGGGTACCAACCCCTCAGTTCACAAATGGGGAGTGACTGCTGCCGGGATGCAACACAGCTGGTGGGGCTGTAGGGGGCAATCAGAGAAAGTCCACCGGCCGCCAGAATTCCTTTAACAAATAAAGAACAGCGCTCTGCCGTCGAGGCTTTTTTCCCCCTTCCCTACCTCCTTCGGCCCCAAGGGTCGGTGATAACTTCTTTCCGGGTTTCAGGGAAAGATCTGACGCCTTTTCAGGAAGCTTTAATCCCTCACGGCCCCCTCTCCTTGCTAGCAACCTTGCTTCCCAGGGCTTTCTTTATTATGACGCAAACCACAGCCTAAAGGGTGAGGCTGAGGGTACCTCAGAAAAAGCCCCTCCTTTCCCCCCAAAATAGAGGCAACTAGAGAGAGATGAGGAATCTCTGGAAGTCCTCAAATTACTCGAAAATTAGCTCGATGTCTTTCAGGAACGAGGCAGACAAGACTAGGCGCCCAACTCAAATCACAGTTCTGGGGTCGTGTGAATAGAGTTTAAATGATCTGCTCCTTCAGTCTCAAAACCATTCCATCCCCAACCAGTTGGAATCTCATCACCCCAACAACTGAAATAAATCTCAGTCTCAAAACTGATCAGCTCACCCTCTGCTTCAAAAACGACAGGGTTCTCGTTGCACCCCAGAAACTCAAAAGGATCTCTTCAAAACCCCTGAAACTGGCTAGAATTCCCTCACACTTAAGCAACTAAGCAAGGATTCCTCACACACACACAGCTCAGAAACTAGCAGGCATCTCCTCACAGCCCCCTCAAACTGACCAAGACTCCCACGTCCCCCCAAACTGACAGGGATCTCATCAGAGATCCCAAAAGTGACAGGAATATCCTTGCAGCCCCCAAAACTTACGAGAATCTCTTCACGCCTCGCAAACTGACAGGAACCTCCTCACGCCACAAACCTGACAAGAGCGTCTTCGGTCCCAAACCCTACAAAGACCTCTGCATCCGCAAAGCTGCAGGGATTCCTCACGCCCGCGGAGCTCAGTCCCCCCGACGCGCCGGCGGCCGG